CAGCTGGGCGAGCTGAGGGTCAGTGCCTGTGCCCCTGCTCGTGTGTGGGCTCTGCAGGGGGACAGCTCTGGCAGGGTGATGGTCCTGAGTGGCTGCAGCCCCTTGCTGTGCTGGGCACAACAGCCAGAAATCCCCCTGTGACAGCTGCTGTGTGTCCTGAGGCTTCGAAGGGCCTTGTGTGTTCCCTGAGCTCTGCATCGCTAAGGAATCATCTGAGAAGGCTGGTGGACTTCAGCCAGACCGACCTCCAGCGTCCCTGGGGCTGCACTCTCCTCTCCAGGAGCCCCCAGCTCTGCTTCCCTACGGACACAGGCAGTGGGAATAAACAGTCATGGATGTGTTTGAGAGGTGAGACACAACTTCTAGTGCCCAGCACTGATCTTTGGTGTCTCACTGCCCTGATTGTCACCTGTAGGGGCTTTGTCCTGCCCAGTGCAAGGGTGGAGTGTGCAGGAGAAGCACCAGGAATTAGGACTTTGGTCCTTCCTGTCCATCTTCCCCAGGATTTCCATGGATGGTGTTTCCAGGGCTGGCACAGCAGGCAGAGGTGGCTCTGGCTGAGCACTGGCAGAGTGGAGCCCTGCTGGGAATGGCAGCTGGGGGAGGCAGGAATGGGAGCTGTGTCTCCCCCTGAGCCACAATCCCGTGGCTGGGATGGACCCAGGAACATCAACAGCACCTGACTGAGCCTCCAGCTGCCCATGGAGCTGCAATCCAGAGGGAAAGGGGAGCAGGATGGTGAGATGGGCTTGGCAGGGAGGACAGGGTGGGGACACCTGTGTGGCACCAAGTGTGGCACCCACTGTGGTGCCCCAGGGACAGTGCCCTGGGAAAGCCAGAGTATTCCTGCAGTGCCTGATTGAGCTCTGACCATCTGGCACCCCCAGGAGCAGGGGGACACGGCTGTCCCAGCTGACCAGCTCTCCGTGGGCACAGGAGCTTGAGTGGGTGGGTGGGTCTCACCCTCAGAACAGCTTTTCCTCAGGGAAAAGGGTTTGTTAAAATGCTTTGAGTAATTTTCAACAAAGTGCTGCAAATGTTTTGAGGGAGTTACGTTCAGCCTGTTCTGTTCCTCACTTTCAGCTTTGTCACAGACCTTGGAAGGATGAACCTGGACCGGGAGCTTTGGATGCTTTGGGAAGGAAAAACACCTGAACAAGAATATTCCTGATGGCAATTGGCCCAACAGGTTCCTGTCAGTGCTCTGGCCACCTCCAAACCCCACAGGTGAGTGGCAGCAGCCACAGCACATGCTGATAAGGGTCCCTTTTCCAGGAAATCTTCCCCTGGTTGCTGCTCCTGCCAGGGAATGGTCAAAAAATCCATCATTTCCCATCAGGCCATCCACAAACTGCCCAGCCTGTGGCTCTCCTGTCCGTGCTCCTGGGTGCTCCAGAGCACACATTTGCTGCTTCCAAGCTCCTTGGGGCAGGAAACAACCCCGTGGCTGTGGCACAGCAGAGCTCTGGCAATCCCAGCCCACCAGGGGAAAACACTCCTGCAAAGGCAGCAGCTCCCCATCCCCACCTCCTGGGCACGGCCCAGCGGGGCAGCTCGAGACTAAACAAGTTAAAATGAGCAAAGCTGGGCTGAAAAAAAGAGTCTTTATATTCCAGCAGAGGGGGGAAACTTGGCAAAGGTTACCATTTTTGTCCTAGGATAGAAAATGCCTCGGCCTGGGTTTGCTGGAGAGGATAAGGGGTTCAGGGACCCACCTCAAGCAGCCCCAACCCCCTGGGGATCCCAGGGATGCTGTGCTCCCTCACTCCTGGGAATGCTGTGCTCCCTCACTCCTGGGAATGCTGTGCTCCCTCTCTCCCGGGAATGCTGTGCCCTCACTCCTGGGAATGCTGTGCACTCATTCCTGGGAATGCTGTGCTCCCTCACTCCTGGGAATGTTGTGCTCCCCTCACTCCTGGGAATGCTGTGCTCCCCTCATTCCCGGGATGCTGTGCTCCCTCACTCCTGGGAATGCTGTGCTCCCTCATTCCTGGGAATGCTGTGCTCCCTCACTCCCGGGATGCTGCCGCTGCTGGCGCTGCCGTTCCGGGTCTGTTCTGTAGGTGGAAGTGTTGGGAAGCCCAGCCGAGCATTCCCTGCTCTGCTGGAGCCCAGCACAGACACCCAGCTCAGCTGACACCAAAAAGGAGCCGAGAGGGGAAATCAACAGCCAAAGGATCCTAAACCAAGTGAATCCACTGCAGGGCTCTCACAGGTTCAAAATCACCCGTTCAGTGATTGGTGCATCTTCCCAAAATACCTTCCCCCTGGGACCTCGTGTGGGGTCATCGGGAGCTGGCACCGGGTGCCTGAGGTCCCAGGTCAGAGTGTTTTGGGGCTTTGTTCAAAACCTGAAGGCTTTTCTGTGCCACAACACCTCTGAAAAACAAACACCCTCAGCATCTCCTGTCAGCTGCAGATGGCTCAAAATTCCCCCCCATGCTGAGGGGAAACCTGGTCTGGTGACACACGGTGGAGGGGGAGGGCTGGGGCTGTCGCTGCTGCTCCTTTCCAGGGAATAAATCACCCCCCAAGAACATCCTCCCTCCCTCCTGCTCCTCCCCGTTCCCAGTGCTGTGTTTGTATCCACACGATGTTCTGGACACGCAGGATGGGAGCACAGTAGTCGTTTGCCATCAAGGAAACCGCAAGCAACAAACAGAGATGTTATCTCTGACATCTGGTTCTGGTTTGGGGAGAGCTGTCTGCCTGCCTTAATGGGATGGCTCGAGGCTGTTTCTGTTTTAGGACTCCTCGTGGGTTCCCTTGGCAACAGCGAAGCCAACACAGGGATACCAGCCTGGGAACACAAAGGCAGCACTGACACCCTTCCTTCCCCTCGGCAGCCAAGGACAGGAGCTGGTGACAGCGACCCGATGGGGAGGTGTCCCCATCCAACCTTCCAACCCCCCCAGGTGAGAGATTTTAGGAAGCTGTGCTGGGGGGTTCCTGGGATAGCAACCCCCCCAAGCACATCCAGGTGCCTCCAACTGAACCCTGCTGTTCTGTGCACCCCCTGGGACAGGGGAACACTCAGGGGTTTGCTGATGACAAGACCAGAAATGAGTTTTCACCCCTAGATGTGTTACTTTAAGCAAAATCCCCGAACCAGACGCTGGGCTTTGGGCGAGAGGTGCCAACCCCTGCCCTGTGTCATCGAATCCTTGAATCCCAGACTGGTTTGTGCTGGAAGAGTTAAAGCCCATCCAGTGCCACCCCTGCACTAGGCAGGGACATTTCCACCAGCCCAGGTTGCTCCAAGCCCTGTCCAAGCTGGCCTGGGACACTCCAGGGCTGGGGCAGCCACAGCTGCTCTGGGCACCCTGTCCTGCTCACGCTCCCAGGGCCATGGGGTCTCCAGGTTTAAGGTGCAGGAATCATTTTCCCTGGGTCGGGCACACCGGTGACTCCTCTCCTCGTGGACTCTTTCCCTGGAGATGGCTCCAGCAGGTTTGTAACGTCCAAAGGGAGTCAGAGGAAAGGATTTCTCTGAATGTCTCTGAGCATTAATTCATAGAAAATCCTGGCCTTGAGAACCAACTTTTATCCAGGGATCAGAAACCCAAGTTCTCCCCCAGCAGAGCTTGGAGCAGATGAATTAATGCCTCATTCAGCTCCAGTTACAGCTTCCACCCCCCTCTAGGGAGGCGCTGGTGTTATATTTAGAAGGAATCTACAAAACAACCCCCAAAGAAGACATCGGCAAACAGAAGGAAGTTGGACACGACCTCTGAGGCAAAGCTGCTCCTGGGTTGCACCCCCGCGGCTCCTCCCCTGTCTGGCCCTTCCCGGGCAGTCCCAGCTGTTCCCGATGGATGAGCCTTTTCCGGGTCCTTTTCCCCCAAAGGCACACGCGGTTCTTTGTTGGGAACTGCCGATGATTGAAGTGACCTCCCAGTCCTGGTAACTCCAAACAAACAGCGCGGCTCGTGCGGCGCTGCCCGAGCTCAGGAAGCAGCTGCAGGGATGGAGGGACGAGGCCGGGATGGATTCCCATAAAAGATTCACGGGAACACGGCCAGGAGCGGGGTCAGCGCTGGGTCCCGGGGAGGTTCCTCAGGCAGCTCCCCTTGAAGCTCCATCCTGGGATGGGGCAGAGCAGCTGGAACTCAAACGGGGGGTCCTCACCCCACGTGAGCTGCCCAGGAAGAGCTGCTCGTCCAACGGGAAAAGGGGATCACAGAGAGCAGCACACGGGGCTACAGGGCATGGAGGGACAGCACAGCGGGAATGGCTTCCCATGGACAGAGGGCAGGGCCAGGTGGGATATTGGGAAGGAATTCCTGGTTCTGAGGGTGGGCAGGCCCTGGCACAGGTTGCCCAGAGAAGCTGTGGCTGTCCCTGGATCCCTGGAAGTGTCCAAGGCCAGGTTGGATGGGTTTTGGACACAGGAAGGTGTCCCTGCCTGTGGAACGAGATGAGCTTTAAGGCCCCTCCAACCCAAACCAGTCTGTGACTCTGCAATGCTGTGAACTTTGGGAATAGGAGGATCCCCAAAAGAAACCATTCCCTGTAAATTTATGGGTTTGAGGAGGAGCAAACCCGGGGTTTATGAGCAAAAAGGACTCATTGTTCTGACAGTTGGAAATGAGCTGATTTTTAGAAGATACAAAAATGTGCTCAGGGCTTATCATGAGCTGGGAGCAGCTCCCAGGGCAATGCCAGATGCTCCTTTTTCCACCACACAAATTTTATTTCCGGTGTTAAAATCTCTTCCACGTTAATCTCTGGCAGTGCCCTTTTCATTATCCCATCCCAATTCATTTGTCCTCTGCTGGGAGGATGAAAACCCCACATTAGTGCTCAGCACATTGATTTATAGTTTTCACCCTGTTGCAGCTGCATTTGGAGTTTATTCTCCCTCCAGCAGGACACACTAAACCACCTGTAACCACCAAAGATGAAATCCAACACTGGATTTCCATGATGTAAATAAGACCCCATTTAAAAAAAAATTAAAATTGCAGGGGGAATGTCTCAGAAATTTCCCCAATTTCATTCTTCTGCTTTTTTTTTTTGGTATTAAAAACACACAGTGCAAAGAAAGTCAGTCTGTCTTTTATTCTGGTTAATATATTTAATGATACGTGGCATCAACTGGCTACAATTTCTATTTCATGCACTTTTGATGCTGCTGAGGAAAATTAAGATGCCTTTTTTTTTTCCTGCAGTCTAATTTCTTCTTTTGTGGAAAAACTCCACCTGCAAGGCACAGGCTGGATCCCAGATCCTACAGCACCTCAGAGCAAGGGCTGTTCGTCATCTTTAATCCATGAGGCACATCAACACTTTGGTTTGGGATTTCCCAGTGGGAATGAGCGCTGGACACACGTGGGAAGCACATCTGTGGGATGTATGGTAAGTGATAAAATGATTGCCTGTTGAAGGAGCAGCAGGACCAGCCATGGGCTGGACTCCTGTGGGGAACATTAAATTCTTTTTATGGGCAACTTTCAGTGGAAAATTGGCCCCATGAGGCCCTGACTGACTGCTTGGAATCCCCCTGTGCTGGCACTCCTCATCTGGGAGAAGAGGCTGATCCCACCCGGCTCCACCCTCCTGGGGGCTTTAATAGGGATGGGTTTGGGCCCAGGAGAGGTTTGGCCAAGCCATGGGTGAGGTTTGATGCCACACAGGGAGCTCCAAACCAGCCCCACCGACCCTGCCAGAGGAACCAGGCCTGGCAGGGTGGGATTAACCCTTTAGGGAAAGGTTTAGGACTGGAGGAGCTCCTGCTCCTCATCAGGCAACAGCAGCAGCTCTGCCAGGGGCAAAGAGAGGCCTCTCCATCAGGGAAGGGCAGACCCCCTGGTGCCAGGGGATGTTTTCTCCAAGGGAAGGGCTGGAATGCTGCCATGGCAGATCTGCTCCAAGCCTGGAGATTTGTTTGGTGCTCCCTCATGCCAGGAGTCCTGGAGGGCAAGGTCTCTGCCACCACTCCTGCGAGAAATATTCCCTGCAGGAAGCTGGATTTCCTCAAATCCAGTGCTCTGATGAGCTGGGCAGGGGCACCCTGTGCTGCTGCCTTTTATCCCAGGACAGAGCCAGGGGATGGGAACTCTCCTTGCCACGGGGACATTCCTGGAGCTGGTTTTACAAGCCAGGCAAAGAGGGCTCCTGGCATTGATGTGTTTTGCTCTTTGCTGAGCAGCTTCCTGGGAGGGAGGGGGAGAAGGGAAATGTTTTTCTCCACTTGGTTTGGATCCAGGGTTTAGACCTTCCCTCGTGTTTCAAACACTGTCCTGTGTCTCTCCCCTCACTCTCCATGCATTCCTCTCTGGCCACACAGACTTTACCAAGGCTGGGGCCACAGGACAGAAACAGGGAGTTGGTGGATAGAGCCTGGATTTTAAACCATGGAATCACAGACTGGCCTGGGCTGGAAGGAGCTCAAAGCTCATCTCATTCCATGCCCTGCCATGGGCAGGGACACCTTCCACTAGCCCAGGTTGCTCTGAGCCATCCAACCTGGATTCTAGGAGGATTGGCCATCATTCCCTGCCCATGGCAGGGGATTGGAACTGGATGAGCTTTAAGGTCCCCTCCAACCCAGACCTTCTGGGATTCCATGGTTTTAATTCCACCTCTGAAGACGAGTCCCTTTTGGGGACACTCTTCTGTTCCTCTTCTCCTCTTGAAACGTAAACAGCATTTCATTACACGATTAATAAATCCACGGACAAACAAACGTTATTGCAGCAGAAATAAATACAAATTTAAGTGAATTTCGGGTTGTAGAAATGGATGGATTGCACTGGCAGAGATTTGCCCCCGGTGTCCATAAGCCAAGGGTCCTTCGAAGGCCTGGGCTGTTTCCCAGGCTGTGGAGGTGTCAGAGCTGGCTGGGCCGGCGGGTTATCCCGGGAATGCTCCTGCTCCTGGGCTCGGGGAGCGAGGCCGCCCTTCCCCTGGGTGCGTGGGGCGGGCTGGGCCCCGCCGATGACGCTGCCGGGCTGTGCCGGCCGGGAGCGGCTCCCTTGGCGGCTCTGGCCGTGCCCAGGGAGAGCCGCAGGTCCCTGGCGGCGCCGGGGCTGCCCCGGGAGCGGGGCCAGGGCGGCCCCGGGAAGGTCCCGCTGAGCCTCCGCAGCTCCAGCACCTGCTCGCGGGCCCTGCTGAGCGCGGCCGTCAGCCCGCAGCGCTCCTCGCACTCCCGGCGCACCGTCTCCTGCAGCAGGGAATTCTGCAACACACACAGAGCAGGGAATTCTGCAACACACACAGCAGGGAATTCTGCAACACACACACAGAGCAGGGAATTCTGCAACACACACAGAGCAGGGAATTCTGCAACACACACAGAGCAGGGAATTCTGCAACACACACAGAGCAGGGAATTCTGCAACACACACAGAGCAGGGAATTCTGCAACACACACAGAGCAGGGAATTCTGCAACACACACACAGCAGGGAATTCTGCAACACACACAGAGCAGGGAATTCTGCAACACACACAGAGCAGGGAATTCTGCAACACACACACACACACACCGGGCGCTCCCTCCGCACTCGGTGGGCACACAACAATCCCCGCTCCCCTCCCGGACATGGCAGCGCTCCCACCCATCCCCTTCCCTCGGGAGTCCGTGGAAACCTGAGGGAAGTGCTCAGGAGCCATCCCTGCCCTCCTTCCTGGCTGGGAGCTGGGAATGCCGCTCCTGGGAAGTGACAGCAGCAGATGGAGGTTCAGTGTCACTGCACCACTTCCTTCTGACCCTTCCTACAGAACCCTCCTCAGGGACTCGGTGTGGAATCGTGGAATCCTTCAGGCTGGAAAGGCCATCAGGGCCAGCCACTGTGCCAAGGCCACCCTGATCCATGTCCCCATCCCAGGTCAGGGCAGGACTGACAGACCCACCCCCAACATCCCTCCAATTCACCCACACTGTTCCTGAACCTTTGCCAGGGAAGAAGTAAATACCAACCCCGGCTCTAATTCATTTTGGGGAGTTTAATTTTCACTGCTTCCCAATTTTTTTCTGCCACTGAATTGCTCTGGACATTCCAGCCTAATCTTATCTGCAGTCCCTGACTGCACATTTCTCATGGAGCAGCACAGCTCTCTCCTCCCTTCCCATTCTACTCCAAGCATTCAGCAAATGCCTGTGGTCAGAATATCCATCACTGCAGCTTCCCTTTGCATGGGGGTCATTTCCATGCATTCCTGTGTCAGGGAACGTGCCTGGGCTGGGGGAGGTGGGGCACAGTTCAAAGAGTGGGAAGGGAGAACTGTCCATGATCTCCACTCCAAAAACATGGGGAATTCTTTGTTGTTCACTCATGTTTGTGTAGCATAACTGAGGCTACAGGCTGAGAAAGAAATGTCTTGCAGGACTTGAAAAATATAAATATTGTTCAATAAAACACAATAACCCCCCTGTGTAAGTGTTTGCTGAATTAAAACTTCCTGTATTTCATAATCTACTGTCTTTATGAAATTATCATGGTCTTGTGCTAGGAATCTTTGCACTTCAATGGCTTTTCTGGTCTGAAATACAGACACCCTGAGTGATACTAGAAATCACATGTCTCCAAGCAAAAATAGCCAGGCATTTCCTGGCTCATGTTCCTACCTCCTCCTGGACTTGACTCAAGCTGTGAATCAGCTGTGTCCTCTCCTGGGTTAATTTTTCCAGTTCATCTGACTTGTGTTTCATTTCTTTCCTCAGTTTGTCCAGGAATGATTCATTGTTGCTCTTCTCCATCGTCAGCTGAAATTCGAGTTCACTGATCAGTCTTTTAAGGCTCTGGATTTCCTTCTCCTTGTCTCCATCCTTCTCTGCAAGTTTCATCTGGGCATCCTGGAGCTTCTTCTCAAGGATTTCTGTCTCCATCCGTAAGCTCTTGGTGGCACTGGATATTAAACCTGGTATCTGCATGAGATCAGACAAAAACTGCATTCATCTACAGTCAGTATTTTTATAGAGAGAATTAATATCAGACAAATTCAAACACTTGTGTCCTCAGAGAGAACAAAATGCTTTGGGTTTACAGAATGCCCTCAGAGAGCTGTAATTAATCTACACTCAGAACAGAGAGATTAATTAGTATGTTCAGGATCCAACAGAGAAATTGAGGTAAAAATGGGAAAATTTCAAGTCAGTGTTTCCTCAGTCTTAAAATCACAATCAAATATTTGCCAAGTGAACAAAGAGTTCTTTTCATCTTTAAAACACTCTGCAAAGCCATAACTTTTAAAATAACAGTGTAATTTCACCAAATTCCTTTCCTTTTTCCCCAGATTTCTCCAGAATTGTGCCAAGTCCTTTGCAAAGGTTATAGGTACAGTATTTCAATTTCTACATAAAACTCAAGAATCTGGAGCTCTGGGGAGCTGGGAATGGCCAACCCCACGTGGTGCCACCTCCAGCAGAGCCCAGAAGGTGGGAACTGGCCCTGTGGGAAGGGAAAAACCACGTGGATGGGTTTGTGGGAACTCATCATAGCCTGAAACAGTCCCAAGGTTTTGCAAAATGATGATGTCAGGTTGAAAATTGAAATCCAGGGTCACAAATGGACTCTGGACTGGATAGAGAAAATATGAGACAATAAAGAACTTCCACACCATTTCACTTGAACTGCAGAGGTTTTTTTTTAGCCTGTTCCAATAAAAAAAAAATTAAACATAGGTCATATATTAAGACTGGGGAAAAATACTCTATCATCTAGACATGGAGGATGACACATAAAGGAGGTTTTATTGCTTCCCATTCCGGCTTTCAACAGTTTTATCTGCTGTGCTGCCACGGGGGTTTTCTCCTGAGCATTCCCCACCTTCTTCTGCAGCTCCTCGTGGTCTCGCTGGTACTTTGTGATCAGTTCCTGCTGTTTCTGCCTCTCCAGGTCCAGCTCCACCCTGGCCTCCTCCTTGACTTTCAGAATCGCCTCTTTCTGCCGAGCCTCTCCCTTGGCCAGATCCATTTCCAGCTGGGGAGCGAGAGGGTTTCAGTCACACCAACCCCAGACACGCTCCTTAAAGGAAGGGAGGGGAGATTTGGCAGCCTGGGATTCCGGGCACTGAACAAACACTCCTGACCCCCTGGAGCCCGGCCAGGGAACACTCCTGCTGCACAGTTCCTGCTCCACAACTCCTGCTCCACAGCTCCCACAGCTCCCAGCCCAGCAGGCTCCAGGGGCTCTCAACCCCTGGGAGAACCCAAAGTGAACGAGTTGCAAATTCTGGGTAAAACATCCCAGCCCTGGACGCATCTCAAAGAATGAACATCAGAAACTCAAACCTGAACGCTCAGCCAGGATTTCCTGAACAGAAGAGCCCGGATTCTGGAGGAAATACTGAGGGCTGTGTGTAGGAAAATACTTTTCCTAACCCAGGATGTTAATGTGCTATTTGTGCAGCCTGGGTTCTGATGGATTTAATTGCACCAGGCTGAGAGGCACATTTAGAGCACAACCCCAACCCAATTACTTCAAATTATTAAAAGCAGAAAAGCCCAGAATGAGCTTAATTGCAATTATCTTAATTTCACACACTAATTATGAGCAAAAGGATAACCAATCTCTCTAAACTCTCTTCTCTGTGGGGAAAAGATAAACTGGAAATATTTTCATTATTTTTAAAAATCAAAATGCAGGCAAATTATGGGGTGGAATAGGTGCAAATCCCCCACTAAGGTTTAGCTTAAAATTGGTATATTTTTTAAATCCTCAAAGTAGACTCTTATTATTCCTTTTCTTCTCCTCCTCCTTCTCCTTGTTATTGTTATTATTTTAGTGATATAACATATTAATATTATTACTATACTAATGATAATAACAATAAATGAAAACAATTCCTGGTTTCTCTGTATTTCAAACAGAAATCTTGCCCACTTGCTGCTCCCAATGGCACAGTGACCCAAACAAACCAGCTGTCCCCTTATCGTGTTCTCGATTTTTTGGTTGCTGAGTGCATTTTTGGAGCCCTTCCCTGTGCTGCATTTTAATGATCCCAAAGCTGTAATTGCTCCCTCTGCCTCCCACCAATCTTTATCTGGGCTGAACGACACTCTGTGATTCTGGAGCCAGTGTGAGCTCCTCCCCAGATGACACCCTGTGGCACGGAGGTGGAGATGTTTCCAAAGGGATGGAACTGATCTGAACTGCTACCGGCCCCCAAACCTCCCAGAGACTCAATAAAAGCTCTCAGACACTTCTCACCTGCTGGAGGAAAATACACAGTCATTTTAGTCACCAGTTATGACAGGATTGAATCAGACAAGTCACAACTGTTGTTCAGCACTGCTTTTACATTTTCCTTCACATATAAATATATGTATATATATTTTTTAATTTCCCGTGTTCAGTTTGGGGTTTTTTGGTGCTGGTGGGAGAAGCTGCAGATGAGAACACGGTTGACACAGTGGCAGCTGTTTATGGTAAACAGCTCCTGGAAATAGGAGGTTCCCCAAAATAAATTTCCTGTAAATTTATGGGTCTGAACCAGCAAACCCAGTGTTTATGGGCAACAAAGACCCGTGTGTTCCTGACAAAAATAAATTGATTTTTGGCTGAGTCCCTTCCAACCCAGACCATTCCACGATTCCAGGATTTCAGGACACCTGGCACTTGAGGAGATCAGTCCCTGCCACATTGTTCTCACCCACTGTGACAACCAAAAACCCCAAATAAAGGAGGCAGAGGGTGCCAGGGGCCCATCCAGGGTTACCTTCTCCCTCCAGGTCTCCTCACTCCTCATCTTCTGCCTCAGCGCTTCCTGCAGCTGCTCCGTCCTGGTCTGGTGGGAAACCACCATCAGCTCCCTGGAAAGCACAACCACCGGGATGTAGGGATGAGCTCTGCCCACAGGGGTGGAATCCCTCTCCCTTTTGTCCAGCACTCAGCACCAATCCCTCCTCAGCATCTCCAGGGGGCCACCACTTGCTTTGTTGTCTCACAGAAAACACTGCAGCTGATCTTCCTTCCCCCTCAAACCATATCTTAATACTTCTTCAAGATTTCTCAAGACAAATCTTGAAGGACACAGAAAAGCTGACACTATTCAAGCCAGAAATAGCATTTAATGAACTCAGAACACTGCTATCATTAATTAAAAAAATGTGGCGTGTTTGGGATTAAAACCACTGAGTGCTTTCTGTTGTTGAGTTACTGTTTGTTATGTGATGCCTTGTTTAGCAAAACTCCTGGAGAGCTTAAATTCTTGTAATTTATGTTATTAGCAACTTGTACACCATAAAATGCCCTAACTGTTCCAATACTCCAGGCTCCTGGATATGATCTGGCACTTGGTGAAGTGTAAGGGCAACTTCCCACCAGTTCAGTCTGATTTTGAAGGTTCTCAGCTCTGAACAAAGCTGCCTTTTCCCCTGGAATTACTTGGCAGATGTGGAAAATAAAGCACTGAGCTTCTGAGGGTTGTTTTCCCTGGAATGGGATCTCCTTTGAGTGCCTTTGTTTTAGACTTACCAGCCTAAATCCGTATTTTTCAACTGCCTTGACCATAATCTACAAACCCAGTTTTATTCCTGACAACCACGGGCTTGTTGTGACCATTTAAAAACGCCAAGAGGCACCAAGATGGTTCTGCATTTTAAGAGAAATGGAAAACCATTGCCTGTGCCTCTGGTACAGCTGGAAGAGCTGCCCCACAGGGCTGTCCTGGGGTTTCATTGAGCTCGAGCTGAGGCCCTGGAGAGCCAAGCAGGGCTTTTTCTCTCCCGTTTCTTTTAATAGGAATTTTTTTTCCCATTCAAGTTTTGTTTATCTTTCAATAATTAAAAAACCCACTCTGATGAATTCCAAACTGTCGGGCATTTTCAGGACATGTCAGCCCAGCTGCCATCACCTCTCCTGTTTGAGCATCACCACCTCCTCCTCCGTCTGGCTCAGCAGAGTTTTCAGGGTCTCCAGTTCACTCTCTGATCGCCCAGTCCTTCTCTTCAGGTCCTCTTCTTTCCTCTCCTTCTCAGCCACTTCCTCCTGTAAATGTTTGCAGACCTGTTGGCAAATCAGAAGGGATTCCTCCTTTTCCTTGAGCTCTTTGGTAAGCCTGCAGGTGAAATAAGGAAGTGTCAGCATTGGACTGACTATTCCTGGTTACAGACAGAAATGGAAAATTAAATATTAGGCAAAAAAAAAAACCCCTGTGTGTTTGCTATGAAGTTAAATCTAATGACTTCACAGAAAAATAGAAAAAAAATGTATAAAACTGCTTTAAAGTCATACAGTTTTTCCTCTCCTGCTCATAAATGGATATTAGGAAATATCATTTCAGCATTTACCTGGACTCAGAAATCCCATTTTCATATTTCATCTTTTTCAGTTCATTCTGACAGACTTCAAGTTCTGTTGATTTCACCCTAAAAAAACCATTCCAAGAAGTGTGTTATCCAAAGAAATGAGCCTTTGCTCCTGCACAACCTGGACATCTCTGCTGGCTGTGTTATCCAACTCACATTTGCTACTTCACTCAAAAGGCCACAAACAGCAAGTTCTTTCAGCTCTAGGTAAGATTTGTCATAACTGGAAGTTCCACTTGCAATGCCATCTCAGCCTGAGCAGGATCACAGATGTTGCAAACGATTGAAGTTTTAAGTAAAAAAATTAATAAAATTGAAAAATAGCAATTTTGTAGGTAAGAGGGCTGGAAACTTTGCAGGTGTCGTGTCATTATGTCATCATTTCACCAATTAATAACCATGGTTAAGCTTCATATTTACATTTAAACAGATATAGAACATGTTATTTTATGAAATTGTGCCCATATTGCATCGAAATTTTAATATTACATTTGGAAGGCCCTCCCTGTTTATTTAACCACGTCCATGACATCTTTTTTCCACGCTCAACCCTTACATTATCACTAAAATACGTCGTTGCTAAGCATTCCAAATATTTGCCACTTGCTTGTGGTCAGACCCCTGAATAGAGGAACAGAAACCAGAAAGTCCAGAGCAGAACAGCCTGAACCCTGTTTAAATTTCAGGAAAAACATGGGAAAAGAGGGGTGAGAGCTGGCCTGGACACTGCCAGAACCAGCTCCTTTCTCTTGAGCTCAATATCTGAGCTGGGACTGGGCTGAAGATGGAGCTCTGTGAGCTTCTCTTTCCTCGTAAAAACGCTGCTGCTTAGAAAGAAGAATATGAGGATGAAATGTTTGGTGCATCTGCGTGTGCAGTGGGGAAGGATGCAGGGAGGGAACCTCACATCAGCAGCTTCTTGTAGTGCTCCAGCTCGGCCGTCACCTTCTGCAGCTGCAGCCCCGTGGTCTCCACTTGGTTTGTTAAATCTGAAAGCAAAAACATGGGCTTTGTGTCTCCAGTTACTCTGAAATAATGCACTGTGGTTTATTTCCATCTCAGCCCTGTGGATCCCCACTCCCCCCTCAAGCAGCACAGGCCTGGCAGTTGTAAAATTTGAATTGATTTTGCATTCTGTGCAGTGCAGAACCTTCCAATTTCTGTTTACACTGGAGCAAAGACTGGCTTTACAGCAAGAAGCTGCTTTTTTGTTTGTCTGGGGTTTTTTATCCTACCAGAAAACATCAAATCCAATTGCATTTTAACATGAAAGGCTTTAAATCACACATATAGCTTGTACATAAAGCTGAGAGCAAACACATGCAGGAAGGCAGATCCAAAAATCACCTGTAATTCTACTTCACCTAAAACCATGACACTCCTTTCATGGTTCTATGCACTTGTCTTTTCCTCTCTTACTGAACATTCTCTCTCAGAACACATCACCCATCAGCTTCAATCAGCCACTGCCTTTTTCCCAGGATACATCCCAGCTCTTTTCATGTGTACAATTAGTTTAATTATCTCATCTGGGTTTCTGTTTCTTAATATCACCCTTTTCCATTTTTTTAAATCCTGAGAATAGTCATAATTTGCAGATTTGAAGCCCTATAAACTGAACCAACAATATATACCTCAATCAGCTCCTCATCCTTGTGAACACACAGAAGATACAGAATCATGGAGTGGTTTGGGTTGGAAGAGGCCTTAAATCTCATCCAGTTCCACCTTCCACTAGCCCAGTTTGCTCACAATTCACTGAGTTTTTGTTCCTTTTCCCACATATCTGTTTCAGTCATTTCCAGTAACCATCATGGTGATGGATAATCCCAGGGTGGGATTTCCTGCCCCACGACACACCTTCCCTTGGTCAATCCCACTGCATGGAAGATTTCCCTCTTGTCAATTAAGGGGAAAGAAAAGCTGGTCATTAAACTACAACAAAAAAAAAATCAGGGAGAGAATTATATAGGCTAAAGTACTCACAAGCTGTCAGATCCATCCCCAAACTATCAGCATTCAGAAAGAGATTTTGGAAGAGAAAGTTCAAATTTCCTTGGCCTTGACTGAGCTCTGGTAAAAAACCATGGAAGTTATTTACAGCAGCCCCTTCCACCCCACCTGCCACCGATGCCAAGACAAAGGAACCATATTTTTGCATAACACACCTGTGATAGCCAGTCCTGGGGTGCTTTGGTTCCATGGAATCAGTGGAAGGTGGGCTGAGCTCAGCTGTGCTCAGTGATGGTCCTGTGTGACCACAGCAAGCGGTGAGAGCAGCTCAACTGCTCCTCAAAACCCCTGGAAAGCCAACCATGTTTTCCCTCAGCTCCCTGGGAAGGGACCACAGAACATCCATCCTGTGCTGAACCTGGCAATCATTAATAACTGTGGCATTTTTTTTCCTCTTCCTCCATGTGGGAGAATGGACACAAGTTCTGGCAGAAAGGAAAAGGAGAGGGATGGTGCTTATTTTGGTTCCAGGACTTTGGGTGGTCTCTTTCTGTGCTGTTTCTTCTCTCACTCAATCTGTTCTCAGAAGTTTTCGTATTCACTGAGCAGGGACAGGAGTTTTTCATGAGGGAGTAGATGGATTTAATTACACAGATGGTTCCTGCAAGTCTTCTCTAGGGAGAATTCCCACCAAAGTCACCGGGAGCTGGCGAGCAGAAAGTCTGAGGGATCAGACCCACATCCAAATAATAGAGATTTCAGTGAAAAACATGGTGAAAGGAAGAAACCAATCAGCAGAATCAGCAGAAAACTTGCTGAAGAGAGAAAAATATATTCAAATGACTATGTAAAAATGTTCTCTGGTAATGACAATAAAGCACATTGCAAAATGTGCAAGCCCAAGAGAAGGCACTGACGCTCTGTCATACTGACACTCGCTTTAAAGCTTGAAGGAGAACCACATCTTAAAACCCTTCAGTCCAAAACCATCTCAGTATCACTGGTGGCTAATTTTAGTTATTTCTGAGACTCAGAAGGGATCTCACCACAGTCATTAACCTTCCAGTGACCTTTCAGTGGGACCCTGCAGTGACAGAGACCGAGGGGACACAGCACAGAACGTGCACAGACATGAAGAACCCAAGAAACAGAACCAAAGCTGGTGACTGTTTCCTCTTCCTTGGGTGAATTCCCATCAGTGCAGCCTCAAAACACCCAGCACGGAGCCTGCCCAGAACTGGCTTTCAGGAATTCAGCCACCCAGTTTGCATCCAAGGGCACAGGCTCCAGATCCTGCTGGGAAACAGCAACAACTGGTAAAGTTTTCAGCAAAAAATAAAACAAATAAGCAGCAAGCAGCCACTCTGGAAGCCATCAGCTGCCCAGCTAATTCCTAACAGATTCCCAGGGAGATCACATCAGAAGCGTGCATGATAGAGCTGTGTAATTATCTACTTTTCCTGCAAAACCTACAAAAAACCCCAAGACAATTTCTGACAATTTTGGTCTCATCTAACTGAAAGCTCAGTGGTTCATACACATGTGAGGAAAAACTGCAGACTTTCTGGGGAGGTTCATGTGCACAGCTCAGCAGAGATCCCTCAGATAGATCAGAGAACCCTCACAGGATCCCAGAACGCTCTGGGTTGGAAGGGGCCTTAAAGCCAACCCTGTTCCACCCCCTGCCATGGGCAGGGACACCTTCCACCAGCCCAGATTGCTCCAGCCTGGCCTTGGACACTCCCAGGGCTGGGGCAGCCACAGCTTCTCTGAGCAAAACCTGTGCCAGGGCCTGCCCACCCTCCTAGACAACAATTCCTTCCCAATATCCCATCTAACCCTGCCCTCTGGCAGTGGGAAACCATTCCCTCTTGACCTGTCCCTCCATCCCCTCTCTCTCCATGTTTCCTGTAGCCCCTTCAGGCACTGTAAGGCCACAATCAGGTCACCCCAAAACTTCTCTTCTCCAGACTGGACAATCCCAACTCTCCCAGCTTTTCCTCACAGCAGAGCTGCTCCATCCCTCTGATCAACTTGATGACCTCTGCTCTGGACTTGCTCCAACAGTTCCATGTCCCTCCTGTGCTGGGGAGCCCGGATTTGGCCCTGAGGACACGCAGACCAGCACCTGAGACCCTCCTGCTGCAGCAGCCCAGGGACAGAACCCAGCACAGCAGGCCTGTGGCAGTCAGGGGTGAACCTGTTCCTTGCCACTGAGTCTCTGGTCTGAAATGACTGTGCCTACCCAAAATAAATGCGTGTGTACAGAGCCCACGTGTTCCCAAGGTGAGAGCCAGCCTGCTCCTCGCTGCCTGGCACTGCACACAACAGCCCCTGCTGCTTCCCCACCGCTCTGCATCACACACACAACGGCTCAGGGAGGGGTTGGTTTCATTTTCCCTTCATTTCAGCCTGGTTTGGGGAAAATCAGGCAGCCAGTTTGGTGTTCAGGACAAGCTGTGACTCATCCCACAGTCACTGTGCCGCCGGGGCAGCCCCAGCCACGCTCCCCTGGCAAGCACAGCGTGGGCTCCACGTGTGCCCTCGTCCTGCCCACCTCCAACCCCACCACTGCCAGCAGAGCAGGACTGCCAGAACCACCCCAGCTGACAGCATTTGTTATTTTACCAAGCTTTATGAAATTCTCTGCACAGTTCAGGCACAGCTTCGCGGAGAGGGTGGCTGGGAGGGACCTCTGGGGTGGCAAAGCTCACCCTTCAGCCCAGAGCAGTCTCTGCCAGAGCCAGACCTGTGGTTTTGTTCAGATCCAAGGCTGGAGGGTCTCCTAGCCCTGCAGTCAGTCCCTCTCCAGCTTTCTTGGAGCCCCTTTAGGCACTGGCAGGGGCTTTAAAATCTCCCTGGAGCTTTCTGTTCTCCAGGCTGAACACTGCCAGGTCTCCAGCCTGTGGCCACAGGAGAAGGTGGATTCCTGCTTCTCCTCCAGAAGCAAAGAGAGGCCCTTCTGCAAGTGGAACTCAAACAGAGCCCCATCCCAACCCCTCCCTGAAGGGAACTTGGGTGCTGTTTTCCATGCTATTCATCTGCTTCCCCTTCCACTGTGAGGCTGTTGAAAAGCACTAATGAGCCATTGCCTCCTCACACTCAGCTCCAGCACCAGCCCTGCATTCCCCGGCTCTCCCCCTTCCAACTCTCCCTACTGCAGCTGGAATTAATAAAAAATATATTTCAACAGCACTTGTAGCGTGAAAAGTGGCTGTTTGAACTGCAGCCTACCTAAAACTGCAGGAAACTATTCCCTCTTTGGATTTTCAAAGCTCTTCAAAGCAGCCTTTAAAATGGCATTAAAGGCACTTCACCGGGATGAAAACACCGCTCCTTCTTTCCATGAGCAGTGCTCATTCCCCACTCCCAAGTTCCAGTCCCTCCTCCAGCTGCCTGCAAGTTTCCATCATCTCTCATTATGTCAGCAGACCACTTAGTTTATATTTAGGAACTGAAGTAGCCCATGGAGCAGGAGCATCAAAAGACTGAAAATTCACATTTCATGGGCATCACCAGCAATTTCAACCCCTAAAGGGGTAAAGCCTGAAACTATAAATGGGCTAGAGAAAAACCACCAGGACTTTGGGAGGGAAAATGATTCTTTCTCTGTGATGAAGTGGAGGAAAGGATTTGGCTGGTAATGAAACGAAAGCACAAGGATCAGCTCCTCTCTTTGAGGAGCACGTGTTGTTGGAGCTCTGCTGCTCCCAGCCCCAAAGATACACAGACACCATCCCAACTATTGATTTTTAGCTTTGTGAGTCTCTGATTAGACAATCATCCACCAGACCTCACCCTGTGCTGAGCATCTGCCAAGACCTGCCCTCTCTCACTCACTGGGTGATGCTCAGCGAGGCTGGAAAGGGCTGTGACACCAACCATCAAACTGAGCCCACAAATCCCCCCCAGAGGGAATTTTCAGGAAGTCACAACAAGCACGAGCACAAAGAAACAGCAGCTGAAACTGCTGCTTAGTTTCTGCTCTTGCAAATGCCTGCTATCATTGGGAAATAGTCAGTAATGCACAGTTCTCTGGTAAATGAGCAAGAGAAGAATCTTCGAAATATTGGCAGCTGAAAGGAAAATCCTTAAAAAATGGAAATCACAAACCCTGCTGGTTTGGGTTTTTTTCCCTGGAGCACTGAACTATTTCAGTACCAAAGAGGGATGATAGAGTAGTTTGGGGGAGGAAAAAAAAAGCAAAATAAACCACCAAACCAAGCTCCCCAAACCCATGGACAGCCTGGATCCCACTGAGCCAAACCCTGGCTTTGGACAGTGTAAATCCACCCTCTGGAGCTGATTTCCACCAAGACTGTTGTTTGTTCCCACTAACTGATTTTATTACAATGGCAAACTCGCATTTAATGCTTGTTTATGAAGAAAATCACATTTTGTATTTCAAAGAGAACATTTTTATCAGCAGTGCATTAACTGGGTTTATTACCCAAAGCCAGCAACGTGTTCCCTAGGCCAGACCCCTCCAAATCCTCATGGATTTGTGTATTACTGACCCACTCAGGAAGGGCAGAATCAAAATGCCTGAGCCAGCAGTTCCCCTGCCTTGAAATCTCCCTCTGGATACCCACATCAGACCTCTTACTGCTCCTTAATAACTGATTTATTATCAAGTAACTGCTCCATTTTTATTAATACATTTAAAAATGCCTCATATAAAACATCAGCCAGTTTAGCTGAGCTTTTTACAGCTCATTTAAGATCTTGCAGAGCCCTAGTACTCTGTATGAATTCAATCTATGATGTTTTAGCTGTGTTTTCTCCATAAAATGTCCATTATTTCAAGTTCCACTGTAAATTTGCAGTTCTCTTTATAAACATAAACAAGCAGCTTCCAAAATATTCCTTTTAAGTGGACAGGGATTAAAAAAAAGACAACCCTAGATAGATGGTAGGTCTTGCTTAGGTATCACATCAGTGCCAGCAGTGATAAAGCTTTTTCAGAACATTCTAACATTTTAGGTTGATTTCAAGAGCTTTCCCTTCCAGTTATGTCACATGAAAGTGAAAAATGGGGATTTAATTCAATAAATCCAAGTTTTTTTCTCATCGAAACCAGAACTCTCCAGTCATTCATACTAACACCAAATTCCCAGAGCAGCAGAACCGGTGAGAGATGGATCCCAAATGTCTGGATCCCAAACACCCCCCCCAGGCTGACTCGGAGTAGGAGGCTGCATGAAAGGAGCGATTTCAGAAGGGACCTAAAAGCTCATCTCGTTCCACCCCCTGCCGTGGGCAGGGACATCTTCCACGGGACCAGGTTACTCCAAACCCCATCCAAGCTGGCCTGGGACACTTCCAGGGAAATGCAGAGACCAAACTGTAGAACAAACTCCACCAGTGGTGCCGGCATGGGTACAAACCCAGGATTTACAGGGCCAGAGTGAAGCAGGTGCAGGGGGGACTTCCATCAACTTCTCTTTTGGTCAGAGCTGGCTGAGCTCTGGTGATGACACACCACCAAAAGCACAGGCTGTGCCCTCCCCTACCGGGATTCTCTGGCAGCAGGAGAACAGAAACTGCAACTGAAGTCCCGGGAAGGACCCGGAGCTGCTGCTCTGCCCCTGTGTGATCCTGTGTGATCCTGAGTCACCTGGGCTGGGCCAGGGGCAGCAGGGACAGGCTCCTCTGATTCCCCTCTGCACCTGCTGGTCCAACACTCCATGCCCTGCTGTCATCCCTGCCCAGAGCTGCACCTCGCTGGCTGCCTGGCCGGTCCCTGCAGTGTCACACCTGAGAGCTGAAGGCACTGAAGGAGCAGTGATTCCTCCCCTGAGCCCACCCCTGAGCCCCCCTGCTTTAAACCCGACCTCACTCTCCCAGCAGAAGGCAGGCTGCTGACTGCAGTGCCAGTGTGATGACTCAAAGCTGTGCCCAGAACAGCACAACCTCTAGATGAGTTTCCAAGGTCTTAAAATATCCCTGAGCCAGTGCTGTGAATGCAAGAGAAAATGACTCAGGAGATACCGATACAAATCATCTTTTTTAACGAGTTACCGTCTCTACAGAGCTCCCAAGATAGTAGAAATTATATTATTATAATTTCAAGTGCTGTCACTGTTCTTGCACTTTTCAAGAGGACACACAATCAAGGGCAAATCATTAGAGAGTCTCCTGTTTAATGACTCTAAATGAGCCTGGCTTGGCCTTACCTGCTGTTCAGTTCTGAGAGCCAAAAGTCCTGCTCAGTCCTGTTTAATCTTTTCACAGTAACAGCCACAATTTCAATGCTTTTTAAGACTTTTTTTTTTTTTTTTTGCACTTTTTCCCCTTGGAATTCTGCTGGAAAAGTCAAAATTCCCTTACCCAGTGTCTCCTTCTGCAGTTCCCGGCACCTGCTCTGGAGTTCATTCCCTTGCTGGAGGGAAGTTTGGAGCTGTTGGGTTTTCAGCTCGACTGTGTCGGCCACCCCTGTCAGGTGTTTGACCTTCTCCTGCAGACATTCGTTCTCCCTCTGGGATTTTGCCAATCTTTGATTCAATTTGGGTATTTCTGAGAAGGAGGGAAAAAAAAATTGTAAAAGCTGTGGTCAAATTTAGCTTCTCCACTAAAAATATGACACCTGTTTTATGACGGCAGGACTTCAGTATTCACGGAATCATGGAATGGTTTGGGTTGGCAGGGACCTCAAAGCCCGTCCTGTCCCACCCCCAGCCTGGCTCCAGCCCTGGGAACATCATTATTTCTTAAACAATTATGTTACAGCTCTTCTAGAAGTGATAAAAATACTTACCAACATTTGAAACACCAATAATGTACTTACTCTGAGTGTATGGCTGTGACTGCAACACAAAGACTTGGAGACATTTTCACTTGCCTTGTGTCTCCTACTGCCAGTTTTTCTCCCTGTTTTACACCCAGGCTACTGTAGGGTGATGGTATAAACACCCTTTTGGGAGCTGCTGAAGGGTCCTGCAGTGCTGCCTCCCAAATGTGTGGACAGGCTGCAGCCCTTCCCTTGGCCAACCTGCTGCTTTACTCCTCAGGTCACCTCGAATTCACGAGCAAAAGAACCCCCACCACGCAGCAACTGCTCCCTCCTGCCGTGTGTGAGTAGGAACAAACCATCCCCAAATCCAGCTGGTTTTATCTCAGGGGTCTTTGGGACTGAAGGGGCACAGAGCAGCCCATGGGCTGGGAATAACTCCCTTGGCCACAGGCTGCTTCCTGCTGGAACAAGGGAGCAGAGAGCTGGGCACAATCGAGGCTTGTTTGGGAAGGGTCGTGCCCAGCCCCCAGGCTGGGAACTCAAACTGCTCCCTGGATGCCCTTTGTGCTCTGCCTCAGCCGAGATTGGCTTTGCTGGAAAGAGCCTGTAGTAGTGTGATTAGAGCCTGGAACACCCAGAGCACCAAACAGGCCCTGTGCTGACTGCTACAACTTTAAAGGCCTGTGGAAATAATACTCACAGGTGAATTCCTCCCCTTCCAGTTCTTCAGTGTGTATGGGTGGACGAGCTGCTGTGTCACACAGTTACAGAATATCCTGAGCTGGAAGGGACCTGCAAGGATAAGTCCAACTCCTGGCCCTGCACAGGATACCCCACCAACCCCACCGTGTGCCTGAGAGCCTTGTCCAAACTCCCTGAGCTCTGGGGGTCAGTCTGATCAGGGTTCTAAGGTCCAAAGAGGTAGGTGAGCTGATGTCATCCTTTCCCTCGTGCTTCCCATCCTTGGGAAGAGGGGATGTAAGGGCAGGGTGGGTGATGTGCCCCTCCCACATCGCTCTGCCCCTGAGAACTGCAGTGCAAACCCCCAGCTTGAGTGAAACCTGCGTGTGTGGAGCAGCTCAGAAAACGGGGCTTTATCTGCCATCCCAGCTGCCCAGCAGCCTGTGCTTCCTGTGACACGGGCAGGGAATCTGGGTGCTTTCAATGATGGCTTTGTTCCCACTGGGAAGGAATCAGGGGGCAGCTGTGCCTGGGGAGAGTAGGCACGAACCCACTGAGCAGCACCGGCAGAGATGGGGGGTCCTGAGCCCCCCGGGGAGAGTTGGGGGGTCCTGAGCCCCAGATCATCTCCCTGCTGGAGATGAGTGTGACCAGAAAGCCCCTCCTTAGCACTCCCTGTCTGTAAGAACAATCAGCACGAATGCCAGTGTCAATGTGACACTGTGGATTCCTGATCCACCTCCTCCGAGCACAGGCAGGATGGTGTGTCCTGAGGATCCCTCTCTTCCTGGGCTCATTCCCTGCCTGCTCCTGCTAACAAAGGGAATGTGAAGGTGTTCCTGCAGACATCTGTGGGCTCACAGAGCTCCACACATTTCCAGGCTTCTTTTCTGGAGCTCTGCCTGTTTTATTTGTGTAATACTCCAAATATCCCAAGTTCCTGGATGGAAGCAGGAGTGGAGCCTTTCTTGCACCCACAGCCCTCATCCAACATATCCCACTCGAGCCTGGTGAATATTGTGACTGTGAACATCACATCCATCCTTAAATCCAGCTTTCTAAACCAAAACACTTTAGTCCCACATATTTTCTTTTGGCCTGTGAATGCCATTTAAAAGCTTTTATGTTCTGTTGTATCAGTTGTTCATGACTAACATATGATATTAACATACAGTCATTTTTTTTGTTTATTTTACTGTTTTTGCAACAAGCTTTCCAGAACCTTCAGATTTTGGGATGAAAAATGCTACAGAGGGGCTGCTCTTTAGACCAGTTTTGGTTGGTTAGTTTGAAAACAGCTTCTAAAAGCCCTATATATGTATTTTAATTAGCTTTGGTTAATGAATGGCAAGCAGGAAACAGGGTAAGAAATCAAATCTTTTGGTATTTACAGCATTTAGACTCACAATAAATGGATTTAGGTGTGGAGTAGTTGGGAAAGATTATATATAATGAAAATATTTGCACCACAGAAGGTGTTTAAAATGTGCATGTGGGCAGCACATAAAACATGTAATGACTGCCTTGACAGTGGAGTTAGGCTTGGTCTAACTTGACTGTTGTCATGATCCATGAAAATATAAATGATGTAAGTTCTTCATCTCATTAATTTGTACCTTCTCATTTGCACTCAACTACCAAAAATTATTTTCTCCTGCCCCAAATTCTTGTGAGATGCTTTACCTGTCAGAGCTTCTTTGCTCACGGTTTTTATCTGCAGAGAAATTTCCTCTTTCATGGCAGCCCAGTTCTCCAGGTTGGTGGAGATGACCTCTTTAATGCTGTCCAGCTCACTCCTGATGAAAGGGAACAGGGACACAGCCTTGTTCAGAGTTGAGCAGTGGTGTTCCAAGGTACTTCTGCAACAGAGAAAACAATATCAGAGGTGTATAGGACACTTGACAACTACTCTTCTGTTATATGATAATTTATGCTATATTAGTGTAGGAAATATGTTGTATTAGGTATTGAATATACATTTATAGGTTTCTCCCTTCTAAATGTTGATTTGGAGCTTCTATGTATAAATGAAGAAAAGTAGACAGGCAATGGGACAATAATTTTTTATTGAGAAATCACAGTAATCACGTTTAAATGACTATGGCCACGCCTGTGGTGAGTCTTTATAAACAATATATATGTAAGAGTATTTCCAACACCAGCATTTGGTTTTGGGTTCTCACCTGAGCACCTGGGATTGTTTGTAGGCAGCTTCCTTCTCCTCCTGGAAATACTGCAAATCAGCTTTCACATTTTTAAACTCCTCTTGTTTGTTTTTCAGCTCCATTGTCAGGTTTTTTATTCTAGAGATGTAAATAAAATAATCATTTGCACTAGTAAACAACCTCTAACTTTTGTGTCAGCTTTAAATTGAATTGAATTGAATCCCAGACTGGTTTGGGTTGGCAGGGACCTCAAAGATTACCCAGTGCCACCCCCTGCCATGGGCAGGGACACTTTCCACCAGCCCAGACTGCTCCAGCCTGGCCTTGGACGCTCCCAGGGGTGGGGCAGCCACAGCTTTTCAAAGGTGATGATCACACATTTCACACAGGCATCAGTCTCCAAATGGGGACAATCTGCCCTTGGTGTCACACTCCTGACCATGGAACTGTTGTCACCTTCCTTCTGCTGCATCTTCCCAGGTGCTTCACAGCAGCACGGATGGGTTCTCAAACGACAGTGTGGGTGACAATTTTCAGCATTTGACTTCAAAGTTGACACCAAAAAAGATCATAAAAGTGGGGAAAAGACAAGCTGCTGTTCTCAGGCCTCAGCAGTACCCTGTGTCCCCTCCCTCCCACTAAAAGGATGGCCTGTGCAGGTCCCTCCAGCCCAAACCATTCCAGGACTCTCTGTTTTTTATATACCTTTGGAAAAGTGTCCCCTGACAAGGCACAGGAGTTTCCATCACCCCCTCGCTGCTCTCAGCAGAGGAGGAGGAGGGTGGTGTCCCCTGGGAAGCACAGGGAGCTCTTCATCCCTGCCCCCAGCTCCTCGCTGGATCAGCCACGGCAAACACAGCCACAAACACTGACCTCGAGCTGTTCTTCACCTCGAACATTTACCTTCTGAGCTGCCTCATTCCAGCACCTTTTGTTCGTCAGGCCCAGCTATCGCAGTGTAAACAAACACAGTCCCAACGCTGTTCTTTCAAACCTCGGCAATTATTCCCACAATTGTCATGGGATGAATGGAACTCCAGGAGCAAGAGCTGGTACACGTGAAGGAAGGATCCCCCCCCAGCAGCTCAGCCCCAGCTGCAGCACAGCTGTTCGCTGCACAAAACCATCCCAAACCTGCCTTCCATCCCCAAAATGCAACCCCAGTGACAGGAACTGCCACAAACCAGCCCCTTTGGAAGCTCTCAGCACTCACTGCTCGTGCAGAGTAAATCATCTGCTTCCCTACTGGTGACGCACTGTCACAAATAAATAAATAGCATTTAGATCAACAAATCTTTTACCAACCCAAAGGGTGGCAGAAGCCTTGGTTTCAACCCTAAAAAGCAGTGGAAAATGAGAATGATTTATAATAAAAAATATATTAAAATTAAGGCAAAAAGTATCAAAGTGCATTAGTTACTGTTACACACAGATCAGCACTTTTGCACCAAAATGCAAATTTTAAGAAGTATTAGTCCTGATAAAGAAACTTGGATCTGCAGGGCTCTGACAAAATCAGAACTGAACATCTGGCAGTTAAAAAGCAAGTTTTTGTGATCCCTGGAACATAAAAAAAAAGAAAGAAAGAAAAGGAAAGGAAAAAAAAAACAGTCCAAAAATAATTAAAAATTTGAAAAAAATTTCTGACATTACCTTTTTAGGAAAATTTCCCCAAAACTACCTGTAAATTTCCCAGAGGTGGAGGCAGGAGGGTTTGGTTGTGTTTGGAAGTAGAACTGTCCCACTAACAAGGAAATGTCCATCCCCCTTTCAGCTACAGAAATTCAAACCTACTTTTGCAGATGAGGAAAAAAGCAGTGATTTAGCACTGCACAATAACAAGCCAAAACTTTGGGATCCAGGGGAAACCGGATGCTCGTTTTCCATTCTTAGTCTAGAATGGGATATTTGAAGGTCTTTTGGTTCAAGAAAGAAACTGGTAAATCATTAGAGACACATTTTCTTCCTCTTTCCACTGCAGAGCTCTGCTATAACAAAAGGGACATTTTCAGCATGTTCTGGTCAGTCCCACACAAAAGGACGGGTGGAAAAGGCAGGACAGTTTCACTCTCCTGGCACCAGGAGGGAGCAAAATGAACATGTTATTTTGGTGCTTTTTAGCACAAAGGAAAAGCTCCATGGATCATTAACCGCTGGCACTGGGAGAATGGTGGGAACACACTGATCTCACCCTCTGCCCTGCAGTTCAGCTGCAGAATTAACAGCCCATCTCTGCATCCCTGCTTTCCTGGGGAATACAGCAGGGGCAGGAGGGGATTGAGCACCTGGTAACTCCCAGTGCTGACAGGAGAAGAACAGAGGAGAAAATCAAGGAGTTGCAAACACAGTCATTGTCCTAAAGCAGTGACAGGAGCAATCACCCTGTTTGTTGGGATTCAGGGCATCTCTCACAAGCCCATTAATCACCTTGGTAGTCCCTGTGATTGCCAGTGGGACTGGAATGTCCTGCCCCAAAAAAGTCCCACCAGGGTGTTTTCAGCTCCGTGAAACTGCAGGATCTGCTCAGACCCAACATTTTCGTTCCAGAGGTTGCCCAGGGCACTGGTGGAGTGCCCACCCCTGGAGGTGTCCAGAAAACTTGTGGATGTGGTACCTGAGGACATCTTTGGCATTTAAATGTATCTCACATTGCTCATCTTGGATGTGGTGAGAATTACCAAAACTGACATTAACTCTCAAAATTAAACTGATTTGAATGTGGAATAAGGCTTGAATAGCTAAGTGGAACTGATTAGTGGTGAGCTCCCCTTCTCCTCCCCAAATCCCAAAGAACAGGTAACCAACCTCTGCCAAAGCTCCTGTTCCCAGGGGCCTTCCAAGGGTAACCACAGGTACAAACAACAGCAAAACCTGAACCTAAAAGGAATCTAAAAATGAACCAGTCTGAACTGACAAGAAAGATTAAATCCCTTGGTCTCCCCGAGATAAAATTTAAAAAAGGGGATATTTGGCTTCTGGGAGGAATGATTTGTCAGCCCTGCCAGACCCAGAAATGAGGATGGTGAATAGTGACTTTATGCCAACAGCACAAGGTAGTGAGAGAGGCCCAGGATAGATAAGGAATATTTAGACAAGTTATTTAACAAGGCACAACAGTTGATTTATGGCTGGAGTGGGGGCCTACTGCAAGTATTGCACTTGATTTCAGCAGCTTTTAAATCAAGTCGAGCCTCAGGGGGGAAAAGTGCAGAGATAAAATTTTTATTAACTGTTCCAGCTTTACTACAAAAAGGCAGCTCAATGAAAATTTCAAGTTTAGCTCTGGCAAATGATCCTCCCCAAGAAGAATGTGCTGTCACTGCATTTGCTCACACACTGAATTCTGCCACCCAGGGTCGTTAAAGGGACAAGGAGCAAACAGCTCATGTTTAAAAACATGATGTTAAACCAAAGAAAATGTTGAATATTGGGAAGGGGGGGGGGTGGAGGATGTTCAGTTTAATTGAAAAAATATTGCAAGAAACATTACGAGTAGAGTGATCTACGACATAAACACGGTTTGTTCCAATCTGGGGGAGCTTGTGCTCTAAAATCAATGTGTTATCAGTAAGATCAGCAAACACAAGCCCAGGGAAATCCATTCATAGCAACATTCAATTCTTAACAGGATTTCAGTGATTCTCAAAACAAAAATAGCAGGTTTCCAAGGCATTCCAGTGCAATCCCTAGAGCACCTTACCACTCAAAATGCCCATTTACCAGTTCTGGATCACCTGGTGTGAGCAAACATGGAAGGGACACCCCCACTGGGGGTCCCCAAAATCAAAATGGCTGAGCTGGTAGTTAAAGTTATAATCTCATTCTTACAAAAAGCTTCTGACAAACAGTTTGATTCAGATGAAATTACCAAGAAGTTTCTGGTGGTCTTGATGTCCCCCTTTATTCCATCAGTTGTCAACTTGAGCAGCTGCATTTTTATAAACTATCTTTTATTAGTGGACTATAAATATTAATTGTTTAGAGTCCCACTGTAATCAATTAGTGGAATATAATGATAGATTTCCAAATATGAGGACAGAAAAGGATACAAAACCTGTAAGCATGAGCTGAAAGAACACAGTTAAAGTTCTAATCACTGTGCCCTGAAAATCCCAGTGTGGCTCTGAGGTCTATCATTCATTAGTGGAGTTCTTAAGGGAATTAATTGGAACCTTCGCCTATCTGTGTGCAAGGATTTGCAGACTCCTGCTCCTGAAGAACAATGGCACAAGCAAGACCCAAAATGTTCATAATTCCTTTAGGATCAGCCTTTTAGAGAGTGAACCCTGAGCTTCTGAGGGCAACAACACAGGTTACTGTGAGACAATCAGTCAAACTCTCACAGCTGTGGAACTCCCAGCACTGTGCAATCTCATTTCAAATATTACCATTTCATTACAAGATAAGGTGAAATATTTCGAATTTCCCTTTGGGAGTGTGTGCAGGGGAAATACCTCCCAGTGCCCTCTTGGCCTCTCCCTCCCTTTAGATGTATGGACTGTTTCTAAACCGGGAAGGAGTTTTAAACTTGCTTCCAAGGAATACTGTGAGAGATGCTTTCAGTGAAGTATCACACTATCATATCATACAGTACCACACATGATGCATCTGATAAAATGGGATGCAAGTCCCTGATAAGCTGCAGGGGAGTGTCAGCAGAGAAGGTGATGAGCTCTGACCTTTCAGTCTTGGACTCACTGGCCGCTCGGTAGCGCTCCAGGTCTCGGTACAGGGCCTGTAGCTCAGCCTGAAGCCTCTGCTCCCGTTCCACGCTTCCCTCATAAAACTTCACCTCCTTCTCCATGGCTTTGACTTTCTCCTCCATCACCTTAAACTCGTGGAGGATCAAGTAGCTGACCCCGCAGTATTTACACACCGTCTCGTCCCGGGACATCTGGGGAGACAGGAAATGGGGAAACTGTTTGTGAGAGACACATTGGACCAAAAACCCCTGAGTGACACGAGGTAACAACAGTAAATGTGAGCCATTTAAACCACTGCATTCTCCAGAGCATTTATGATCAGGTGGTGTTACTGCTTTAACAAATAATAAAGAAAAATTCTGCATTAGCAAAATGAGCCCAAGCTACAGCAGTGCTTTGTCTCACTGGAAACTTCACAGGATGTATCAACCCTGGCTAGTTTAATAATGTAGGAATTCCCACGGGAATTCTTAAGTACCTCTGAGCTATGCTTGGTGTATTAATCGAAAATAAAACTCTGTGTTTAACAAAGTTATCTCCTTAATGAATCTGTGATCGCTTGAGCCAGAGAAATGTTATTTCCTGTGGTTTTCTGGCAACTGGTGTCGGAGTGAAGCAGGCGAGATAAATGGGGAGTGAACAACGTGATGTAAGCCAGCAATCTGTACACAAATAATTCCAGTGAGGAAGGGATTAACGGGGATGAGGTAGTGCCCATGGCACCGGGGTGCTGTGGAAAACAGAACCCATTTGTAGGCATGAAATATTCATGGCTGATTTAAAAACTACAGAGAACGTAACACACGGCTCATGGAAAGACCGTTCATTAACTGAGGAATGTGATTTTCTAAGGGATCAACCATTAATCTCAAAGTGGGGTGCATGGAGCACCTGCTCACCAGCACAGAGCCCTGAACCTGATGGGTTTGCCCCTGGTTTGGGGACAAATTCAGCATAAATTCATTGGAGAGGAAGGAGATGGTGAGAGTCAAGACTAGATCAGAGGACACTCAGATACAGCTGAGACACCCCTTGGAGGCAGGAAAAGCTCTTGGCAAACTTGGAGAGAGGGAAGATGGACCCTGGGTGGCAGCTGGAAGAGCCACTGGATGTCTGAGAGACTCAAACACACTGGAGCCTTCCTTCAGTCATTTTTTCTTGCACAGTTACCAACTGCTATAGGGATCCTAACAGTGAATTATCAAAATCAGAAAGGGGAAAAACTGCAAGCAGCTGAAGTCAAATTAAGAATCCCTTGTTTTACAGAAGAAGAAAAACAGAGATGTTTTGAGACACTGGGATAAATGGAAAGAAATCAGGCTTAGAGGAAAGAATTCAAAAGTTATAAATTAAAGGCCCATTATCCCATGATCCAACAACCTTTAGCACTTTAAATATAGCTTGACAAAAATGGTGTTTCCTGATGCCCTGGCCAAGCTTTATTTTCCCATTTCTTAGCGTTGCCCCAGTTTACAACACCCCTGGTTACAGCTGCTCTGAAGGAGTTGAAAATGCAAGTTTATTTTTCCTGGCAGCTGCAAACTGTGCTTGGAAATATGAAACTGTTATTGAGGATAACTACCATAAAGTTCCAAAGCACTGAAATTACTATATTGAAAAAGGACAAAATGAGCTGCTTTAGGGAGCACAGGAGGGGTTTCTTATCCCAGAGAGAACATGGTGCTCTTGTGCTGCCCTGCAAATAAACAGTGCTAGGAATTTCACTGGGTTCTGGGACCGAAAACAACTGAAAATCATCGGGGGCCTGACCTGCAAATGCTTTGTGCGAGTACTAAACCTTCCTAATTTTGACATTTTTTTGTTGTTGAACTTCAAAATAAATGAAGTCATAGAACAAACAAGTATTATCTCCCTGGGCTCAGCTGGAAGTGGGTCCTGTCCTCCTTCACGCCCATTCCTCAGGTGAAGTGAAAACTGGGAAGGATTCCAGAGCACACTGCATTTTTAAAGTATTTTGCTACATAGTCAAAAAATAACAGAGAAGGAAATTTGACTTCAATCAGGACCTTGCTCTGTACATTCATAATTACCCTGCAAGCACTGCAATACACACAAGTCTGTAGGAAACAAATTTTCCTTAGTTCTTACTCTTTCTAACAACCTTTTCTGGAATAATCTGATTGCTGAGTAACCACTAAGAATGTGTTTTAAATACCCAATGATTTATGTTTTCAGATTCCATATTTCACTGGTTCCATTTGATCAAAAACACTGTGGGCTTCCTAACTCAAAGCAGAAAAAAAAATCAGGGGAAAAACACTTTGGAAGGAACAGAAAAGGAAACTATCAGAGCTCTGAGTAAGAGCCCTTGTATTTCCTGAGCAGAGAGGGGAAGCAGTGAAGAGAAAAAATCAATGAGGAATTAAACAAACAAACTCACTGAGGACAAAGTGCTTGAAGCAGGAAGATATTTACCCACAGGATGCTGAGCCACAGTCGTGACACATTACACCAGATGCCTTAAAGCATCTGCACTTGGGTTTGGAAGCACTGGTATTACTCCATGGTTACAGAGATTTCTTTAGATACCAAGGGCAATGGAAAGCTGAGCCAAGAGGGATAATCACTCAAATTACATCTGTCTGACTCAGTTCCATCTGTAGAGCATAAGTTAGAAGGAAAAAAATTGGTGGTCTGGACCATTTTGAGCCTTTTGAGTGAGGAGACAAGAATTGATACGGTTTCAAGTTGAGGGAGCAGCTCCAGGGTGTGCCAGCCCTGCAGCTCTGATTCTGCTCTGACACTTCAGACCCACCCCCAGAAATGCCCACAGTGAAGAGCTGAGTTCGTGGTCAAAGAGAAATGAGCTCCTTTCTCACTCAGCAGGGCTCTGGTACTACAGGATCCAGCACACGGATCCAGAACTGTTTGGGTTGGAAAAGCCCTCTCAGAGCATGGTCCAACCATCCCCCAGCACTGCCAAGGCCACCACTGACCACGTCCCCAAGTGCCTCATCCACACCTCTCTGGAACCCTTCCAGGGATGGGGACTCCACCACTTTGTGGGCAGCTGTGCCAGGGCTGGACAATCCTTTGGGAGAAGAGACTCCTTGCAGCAGGCAGTGTGTTCCTCACCCACCTAACGCTGCAGGGACAGCTCCTGCTCCTGGCTGGAGCTGGCAGGGCTGGCATTGCTCCAGCACGGACTGGCCAAATAACAAAAAACTCTGCCCAAGCTAAATTTGTAGCTGAATCCATGAAACTCAAGAAAAGTAAATCATTATGCTGCAGCTGAGCGCTCTTAAATTGTTCCTGTATGTTGTTTTATTCTCCTTTATTATTATCCAAATTTACTTTCTTTTTTGTTTCACTCCTCCTCTCCCACACCACTTTCATGTCCCTCTCCTGACAAACCAGCCAATCCCTGTTGCACAAAAAGAAATCGTGACTCAAACCACACCATTGATTTTCTAGGAGTTTTCTGCTGGATATGCAAAATGAAGAGTTATCTGATTGAAACTGATATTTGCTTTAGTCAAAGAAATATTTTTTAAAGTCCTGGTAGAAGCTTCACTTCTTGTAAAAGAAAAACGTGTATTTTCAGTCAGGGTTTCAGTCAGCATCTACCCAAAAAGCAATCCAGCTGGTACTGCTGGGTCATGCTATAAACAGAATTATTTGCTCCACTTCCATAAAACCACAGTTGCAAAAAACAAACCCCAGTGCTTGCTCTAAATACACACGAACAGTGCAGAAACAGGCTTGGAGTGGAACCAGAACGTGGCTTCATTCAAAACATGCCCTGAAATAATCAGTTTGTCACGGCAGGAAATAACACTCCGATTTCAGGTAGCTTGGAGTTTTTCCTGCCTGTGAGGAAATTGGACTAATGAATCATAAAAGGCTGGAGAGCCCTGCTGGGAGCTGCTCCCACTCACCCCAGCCCTGCCAACACTCAGCACGTGTCCCCAGCCCAGCAGACCTTCCCGGGCTGCCCCCGCCCTGGAAGTGTCCCAGGCCAGGTTGGAGCAAGCTGGGATAGTGGGAGGTGTCCCTGCCCAGGGCAGGGGTGGCCCTGGATGGGCTTTCAGGTCCCTTCCAACCCAACCCATTCCAGGATTTTCCAGCATTTCCAAAGCACCTCACAGCCACTCAGAAAACTCCCAGAGCTGGAGCCTCACATCCCAACGACACACCAACATCAGAAATTCTATAGCCAAGTGCTGAAAACCTCAGTGGAGCAACTTGGGAACATCGTGCCCGGAAGAATTCACAAGGTGGGTGCCAACAGGACACTGAAAAGGGCTCTGCCATTCTACCACACTTATCTGGAGGGCACAAATTGAAGTGATCTGCTTTTAAATCCCTGCTGGCACCAATATTGCACATCCTAAGCACGTCGTTCCCTCCCACCCAGCGAGTCTTGGTGGATGGGAGAGACTCTTCAGCTTACTGACACAGCTGGGACTACGTGTTCCAGGAGCCATTAAAAACAAATAACCCTGTTCAAAGCCAGCCAGAGAAGCGGCAGATAACGTAATGTGCTCATCAAGATGCCATAACGTGCCCGATCCCGAGCAGCCGTGGGCAGTGTGGTGTGTAAGCACTGCTGCGAGTGGTGCACACGGTGTTTGCAGCCAGCCAGCCACCACAGGACGTTCTGTACCCCTGTGGAACAGCCTCAGAGTTCCTGCCCTGCCCCAGCTCCCCAGCTCCCCAGCTCCCAGCTAATCTCGAAGGGTATCCTGTGCCCCATTAATTTTAGGATTTACGCCAGCAAAGATCATTCATTTGCCAAATAAAATATGAGATTAAATATAACTTTTTGTTTGGGGACTTGGGGTCATCTGGTTGCTGTTCTGTCTCCTGTTTCAAAGCTGCACCTTCCCATCAACTTCCACAGACTTGACAACAGCAGAACCTTAATTAAAGTTCACCAGCACAAAAGAGATTCCTCCACCACCAAGGTGGAACACGAAAGTCTTGAGGAAGAACCAAACCAAACAGCAAAGCCAGAACTCCCCAACAATACACGCCCATGACACTGGGGTGAAGGAGGCACCAACTCCTCCTGCACCCTCCTGGGCTCTGGGCACCTCTCAGGCCGAGGCTGATGGCACAATAAATACATCACAGTGAGGCATTACAAGCCAGTGATGGACATCTTGACCCAATTAGTTTCTAACAAGTAGGCAACTGTAAATACAAAAAAAATATATCCTGTAAGCTTTAATAATGGGCATGTGGGTGTTTAGCTGTTGATTTTTTTTTCTCCCATCTCGCAATGAATCTGGTGAGAAGGAGCTGTGAGAGCAGTAGAAGGAATGAGAAAGAGAGCAAAGCATGTACAGTTTTTTACATGATTCTCTAAGGCAAAATTGGTCAGAACACAAAGAACCAAAGCCCCTTCACATCCGTCGCTTCACTGACAAGATACCAAGAAATCTCCTTCCCTCTAGATTAAAACTTCCTTTAAAATTTAATAAACAGCCTTGATAAGCAGCCTGTGGAGCTCCACCTACCAGGAGCACGAGGGAGAGGGACGATGAGGGCTCTGCTCTGCCTCCTTCCCCTGTCAGTACAACCCAACCTTCAGCAAACCAGCCCAAACCAACCCCCAGGAAGAGAATATTCTTCACCGTGAGGCTGAAACCCCCGTGCTTGACAGGCTCCCTCCACACACACACATTCCCCTGGCCTGCAGGTTGGGAGCATGTGCTCCCTTTGGCACAGCAAAGCACAGCTGGCAACAGCTCTGCTGTGTTAAGGAGCAACCCCCGAGATTCCAGAAGAGGGGCTGTAAAACCCAACAGCAGGGAATGCCAAGGGAATGAGAACATGTGCACATAAGAGATGGGAGGTACAAGGACAGGAAATTGTGAGAATGCCTTGTAATCAGGGCCTGTACCTTGTAACTGTAGTGCACCTACAGGAGGGATGAGTGAGGGATGAGCAGCACAAAGGATGTGTAAAACCCCGGCACTCTGATCCCATAGCCTTGGAGCTCACACATCCCACAGGGAGCAGAGGGTAGGATGGGACAGCAAAGGACCATAAGCCTGTTCTTCTACAAATCCAGAAATTCTGTGTCTTCCCATCAGATGCTTTTGTTACCCACACCCCCAGGAGGGGAGGGAGCTGGAAGGACTCCCTGCCCCATCCTCTACTCCGAGGGAAAAGTTTGCCCCCACAGTCCCATGGAAGAATTCCACAACTGCCTGGGTGAGCTGCTCCAGTTTCATTGCATCCAACCAAAGCACAGTCAGGAATGTGAGGAAAAGCCTGAGTTGCACCTGGAAATGAACCCCCACCTCCCTGCACGTGTGAACACTGTTACTCAGGTATTGTGCAGGATGAGCAAACCCAGCTCATCACCCTTTCACAGAAACACAAGATTTTTAAGCTCTTTACTACTTTTGCTCTTTACTAAATTCCCATCAGTCATATCATTTTTTTTACAGCAGCTCAGAACTGAGGCCTCAACAGCCCTGAGGAGAGGGATAACAAAGGCCCAAGTTTCACATGCAATTCCTATTACAACCATTAATATTACTATTATCACTATACTACAATTACATACATTACAATTATTATTATATTACAATATATTAGGAGCCTCTTTCTTTGTCACATCCCTTTGCTAATATTGTTCATTCCTTATGACCTGATCACAGAGCTCAGTGTTGTCTGACAAGTGACAAGGAGGTTACTGTGGATTTTGTATTGATGCAGTGGACTCACTTTTTCTGAATACATCTTATTCTTACTGAGAATATGGAGTTCAGTGGTGCTCCCAACCCCTCCCAGACTGGCACCAGCGTATTCCTCATCATAACCCAAGATCCTGGCTCAGTGATAACCAGCAGACACAGACACTGCTGCTGGCAGAATTAATGTCACTGCTTTTCTGCTCCTGCTTCCTCCCTGTGCTAGGGTATGGCTGGCACACGGATCAGGAACTGGCTCAGGATCTGATCCAAATCAGACACACACAGCAAAAGTGCCACCAAAGTGCAGCTTTAAACCATTAAAGAAACACTGAGCAGTAACCAGATCCAGAACAGTGCTCTCCTCCAACAACCTGACGTGACTGTTTCTCTGAGGAGCCCACGCTGACTTCTGCTCACCACCTTATCCTGTCGAAGCTTAAAAACTGATTTCTAAATAAACAAACGTATTGGGATCTTTCCTGCTACCAAAACAGCTGCTCGTGAGTCTCTCAGTGACCCACGTTCTTCTCCTTCCCTTGTTTTAAGGGCACATATTCCTCTCCCCTTCCATTGTCTATCTTGCTCACCCTTGAGTTCTCAGAAATCATCTCAGAAATTGTCTCAAGAGTTTCCCGGACTATTCCAGGGAAGATTTCTCCAGCCTGAGTACACAAAGCTTTTAAATGACTTGTTAATTATGAGGTGCAGGCCAAGAAATGAGGACAGCTGGGTGTTTTATTGCTGAAGTAAAAACCTGATAGTGTTACAAGAAGTGACTCGTGTTCCACTTGAGTGGAGCCTCCTCCTAAATGAACCCACACAGACAGCAGCACTGTAACACTGGCAATAATCTGCCTGCCAAACAAAAGAACACACCAAGAGCAGATCCCAGGGAAGATGAAGGGGAATGTTCTGTTCCCGTTTGTGTTGATACTCCTCCGGAACATGTTATGCTCCCAGTCATTCCAAACTCACGGCAGCAAAACATGCCATAGCAGGGGGAAATGTGGGACTCACCTGGAGGGACCACGCTGGGACAGAGAGAGGTGTTCTCTGGGACTCACCTGGAGTGACAATGCTTAGACAGAGAGAGGTGTTCTCAGGCACTCACCTGGAGTGATTGAGGTGTTCCTGAGATTCACCTGGAGGGACAACAGTGGGACAGAGAGAGGTGTTCTCTAGGACTCACCTGGAGTGACAGAGGTGTTCTTTGGGCCTCACCTGGAGTGACACAGGTGTTCTCTAGGACTCACCTGGAGTGACAGAGGTGTTCTCTGGGCCTCACCTGGAGTGATTGAGCTGTTCTCTAGGACTCACCTGGAGTGACAGAGGTGTTCTCTAGGACTCACCTGGAGTGACAGAGGTGTTCTTTGGGCCTCACCTGGAGTGACACAGGTGTTCTCTGAGACTCACCTGGAGTGACAGAGGTGTTCTCTGGGCCTCACCTGGAGTGATTGAGCTGTTCTCTGGGACTCACCTGGAGTGACAGAGGTGTTCTCTGGGACTCACCTGGAGTGATTGAGCTGTTCTCTGGTACTCACCTGGAGTGACAGAGGTGTTCTCTGGCCCTCACCTGGGGTGCCTGAGGTGCTCTCTGGGCTCCCCTGCAGTGACACCACCATGGCACAGCAAGGTGCTCCCCTGCAGGGCTCCCACAGAACTGGTGTCATTGCACTGCACAGAGAGTGATGAAACCCCACACCGCCCCTAACCCAGGACCAGCATGTACCACACAACGCACCAGTGCCCCCAGGCCAGCGAAACACCCCCGAATTCCCGCAGGAGCTGCCCTCCAAACGCTGGGTTGTTTTTTTTTTTGCCATCTCCACCGCTCGTACCTTGCGGATCTCCTCGGGCAGTGCGTGAAGGGGGCCGTGCCTCTCCGTGTGCTGCCGCGGGCCCCGCGGCGGGGTGCGGGAGCTGCCGAGGCCGGGGAGCTCGGGCCGGGCCGGGGTCCGTGCGGGGGACCCGGGAGGGGGGGGAGCGCGGCGGGGGCGCGGCCGCCGCCGCCATCTTGGCAACCGCGGCGTCCCCGTCACCGCGGCAACGGCGCGTGCGCGGCACGGCCCGCAGGGGGGGGCGCTGAGGCCTGGCACCCCAAATTGGGCACTGAGGGACACCCCAAATTGGCACTGAGAGACACCCCAAATTGGGCACTGAGACCCCAAATTGGGCACTGAGAGACACCCCAAATTGGCACTGAGAGACACCCCAAATTGGGCACTGAGAGGCACCCCAAATTGGGCACTGAGAGGCACCCCAAATTGGCACTGAGAGGCACCCCAAATTCGGCACTGAGACCCCAAATTGGCACTGAGACCCCAAATTGGCACTGAGAGACACCCCGAATTCGGCACTGAGACCCCCAATTCAGCACTGAGACCCCAAATTCGGCACTGAGAGACACCCCAAATTGGCACTGAGACCCCAAATTCGGCACTGAGAGACACCCCAAATTCGGCACTGAGAGACACCCCGAATTCAGCACTGAGACCCCAATTTTGGCACGGACACCCCAAAGCTGGTCACGACACCCCAAAGACCCCCTGGGCACTCCGTACCCGGCCCTCACACCTCAAATTTGACCCTGACGTGCCAAATTCGGCCCCGCCACCGCAAACTTGGCCGAGCCACCCCTGACGTGCCAAAGCCACCCGCGACACCCCACAGCCTTCTGTGACACCCCAAATTCAATGCTGACATCCTAACCGGCCCTGCCACTCCAAAAACACCCTTAACACCCCAAATTCAGCCCTGTCACCCCAAAGCGGCCCTGCCACCCCAAATGAGTCCCTGACACCCCACAGCCATCCCTGAGCCCCAAAATTCAGCCCCAAGACCCCAAATTCATCCGTGCCACCCGGGTCATCCGTATGTCAGACCCGAGGCACGAGCTCAACCTCGGGATGAACTGTCCACGCGCCGCCGGCTCCCGACGGGATCCACTGGAGCGCGGCCGTAAAAATGAATAAATCAGGGAAAGACGGGAGGGAGAGGCAGGAGTTTGCAGTGGGATTCATTCCACATTCTGCCCTTCTTTCCATCGCTGGTGGGCTCCTGTTTCCTTCACAACAGAGTTGCTGTTAGGGCTCAGCTTTACGGCACGGCAGGGACCATCTGCTCCATCCCCAAATTTCCAGCCTGCCCAAAGCAATTCCTCCATCCTCAAAGCAATTTCTCCATCCCCAAAGTAACTCCTACACCCCCAAAGCAATTCCTGCTGTCCCCAAAGCATTTTCTGTATGTCCAAGGCAATTCCTACACATCCAACTCATTTGCTAAGGGCTCAAAATATTCCCTACAAGCCTTATACAAAATGATACATCCCCATAGTTTAGGGATACCCACTAAAAATTGGGAACAGGCCATGGCAAAAAAGGGGTGACCTTGATTTAATTTATGCACGACTCGGTCGCAGCTGTGAAGGTTCAGTGTCTGGGGTGAAGCATCAGTCAAGGCTGGGGGATGAAGAGGGGGAAAACGAGGTTTGGATTGAAGAAAGCAGTGAATTTTACAGAGGAAAATTTTATTGGAAAAAAAGGAAAATTGCATGAGTAGGTGGTTGAAGAAAATTGAATTTTAGTGCAAGAAAAAGGAGAATTGCATGAATGGGGGGGTTTGTTTGAAGCAAGTGGTGAATCTTGGGGGAAAGAAAATTTTACCAGAATAAAAGGAAAATTGCATCAGTGAGGGGTTCAGTTGAAGAAAATAGTGAGTTTTAGGGAGAAAGAAAGGCAAACTGGATGAGAAGGTGTTGGATGGGACAGAGGGATGCAAAGTCGTGGGGGGGGTTGAGGGAGGGAAAATTTCACTGGCATAAAAGGAAAACTGCAGGAGTAGGGGGTCGGATTCGTGGAAACTGTGGCTGAGCAGGGAGCTGGACTGATGAAAATGGCGAGTTTCGGGGGGGAAAGAGGCGAACTGCGTGAGGAGGTGCTGCGGCAGGAGGGCTGGGGGAGCGGAGCCCCGCTCGCCCCCCCCACCCCGGGCTCCGTGCCACGCGTGTCCCCGGCGGTCCCTCGCGTGTGTCGCCGCCGTGCCCCGTCCCACGTTGCGTGCCGAGCTCCGAGCCTCGCTAATCCCCGCCTTGGCAGCCGCGGCCGCCTCCTGCCCCGCTGCCCTGCCTGCATTAACCTCTTGTGCTCCGCCGGCAGCCCGCGTGTGTAACTCTGTGTGTGTGTGTCTGTGAGTGTGTGCGTGTTGCGTGTGAAGGGCGGCTCGCCCCCCGCGGGGGTCATTAATTAAGCTGTGCATTAATAGGAGCTGGCGAGGCCCCGCCGCGGAGGGCGCGGGGCGTGCGGCGGGCCCGGCAGCGCCTCCCCGGCATCTGTTCCCGCCGTGCGTGATGGCGGCGGCGGGGGGCGCGGGCGGGGCGCCCGGCCGCTCTCACGCGATGGCGGGGCTGACGTGCCGGGGAAGGGTGTCGTGAGGCGCGGCCGTGAGATCAGCGGATCACCGCGGGCTGGCGGCGGGGGAGGCGGGGGGAGAGGCAGGCGGCAGGCACGCAGCGGCCGGGGATGGAGGGAAGGGGGGGGATGGAGGGGGAGATGGAGATGGAGCGGTGGCTGCTGCATCCCAGCCCCCCGCACCCCGGCTGAGCGGGGACTGAAGGGGGGCTTGGACGGAGGGATCTGAGGGGATCCAGTCCTGGGGAATCCGGGGCTTGCGGGGAGCTTGGACAGAGGGATCTGAGGGGATCCACTCCCAGGGGTGTCCGGTTCTTAGAGAGGCGGAAAGGGAGCCTGGCAAGAGGGACTTGAGGAGATCTGATCCAGGGGGGATTCTGTGCTTCAGGGGCCCCAGAGGAGCCTGTGCTGGGGGAATGGATAAGGGGAACCAGTCCTGGCAGTGGTGAGGGGAGCCTGTGCTTGAAAGGGTATGGGGTGAAGGAGTCCAGTCCTGGGAAGAGTGGACACCAAACATCCTGTCCTTTGGGGGAACTAAGGGCAAGCTTGTCCCTGAAGGGGTTGAGGGGATCCAGTCATCGTGAGTCTGATGAGAGCCTGTCCCGGGGGTCTGAGGAGATCCAGTCGTGAGGGTGAGAAGCCTCTGTCCCAGCAGAGTGGAGAGCCAGGCAGGGCCGTGCTGCTGCCAGCCGGGATGCTCCTGGGGCAGGGCCCTGTGGGAAGCAGAGCACGGGAGATGCTGCTCCCACCACACTCTGCTCTGAGCAGCTGTTTCCTCCCAGCAGGAAGCCCACACAGAATCAGCACATCCGTGGTGGCTCGGGACTCCGGTGCACGGCCGTCTCTCCCCCATGGCACGGCGGAGCCATGTGCGTGCCAGCCCGAACGCCCGGCACCGCTCGGGATCAGGTTCCAGGCGGTGCGAGCGGCTCCAAGGACAAACCAACAGGCGAGAAGCGAGTGCGTGACACGCAGCAGTCATAAGGCAGCTATTTCCATTGTTTTCCGGCAGGCTTTGTACCTTCTCAAACACACGTGGAAAGCCTCCCACCGCTCAGAAATCCCAACCCGGAGGAGCAAAGTCCGTGCCAGTGGGCAGCTGGGAAAAGGGCAATAAACACCAACACCCTCCTCGCACAGCGGGACTGACCCGGGGTGGGGGGAGGGTTATAGGTGTGTCCGCACCTGCAGCATTCCCTGGGCAAAGAGAAATCCGACTTGTCTTAGGCTGCCCTTGTATTTGCTCACCACAAAGCGCAGCGCGGGGAAGCGGCGTGGAGCAAACAGCTCCTCTGGGAAGCTGCTCCGCTTGTTTTTCTAGGGAGGAGCAGAGCTCGAGCGCTCATTGCTCCGTAGGTGTGCGGGGGCTCGGGGGGAGCAGACGTGCGGCACGAGGGGTCAGGGGAAGGACAGGCACCGAGGTTATTCCCGGTGCTCCGTGCACAGCGTGTTAGTTCCCCTTTCCTATTTGCTGGGTTTGTTTGGTTTGCTCAGCTCCCCCCTCAGCAAATGCCACAAGGACGGGAGCGTGGTGGGAGAGCAGCCTCTGTGGAAGGATTGTTTGGAGAAGGGAGCTGAACACCAGGGCTACCTGGGAGTCAAGGGCAGGCAGGTCGTGCGGTGCAAAGAATAGAAACTCCCCAGAGCAGCACGGAAATGATAAAATCAGGGAGAGTGGGAGGGAGCAGGACACTGGTGGGGTGTGCAGCAAGGCAGGGGTGAGGCCATGGTCCCAGCTCCAAAGGCACCACGATGCTGGCTCAGAGCAAGAGGAACAGGAGCGTCCTGATGACAGTGGGACATGCAAGGCAGGAATGGGATCCCGAGGGAGGAGATCCCAGTGCTCCTGCCGTGACATTGCCAAATCAAAGCCAAGCTCTTGGCCACAAGAGCACATGAGGTGAGTCAGAGCAGGAATCCGTATGGTTAAGCAGCAGCTGAGTGCCAGAAGTGAAGAGCTGTCGAGGATGGTATCAGGAGCGTGTGTGTGTGGAGGACACTGGGTTTATTTGCCACCATAGGGAAGGATTTGAAAGGCAATGCAAGAAGCTCGTATTGAGCCCGATTTGGCAGCAAGAGGACTTGGGAAGGGTGCCAGGAAAAGCATCACAGATACAAGGCTGGGGTGAGAAGGGAATACAGAGCACAGGCAGCTCCAGCAGTTGAGCAGTGGGGAATGGGCATGGAGAGGGAGAGTGCATCCAGCTAACAGGATGGGATCTGGGGAGAGAATCCCAGAATCATTAAGGCTGGAAAAGTCCTCCAAGATTATCAAGTCTGACCTGTGCCTGACCTTGTCCCCAAGCCCAGAGCACTGAGTGCCACGTCCAGGCCTTCCTTGGACACCTCCAGGGGTGGGGACTCCAAACCTCCCTGGGCAGCCCCTGCCAGTGCCTGACAAGCCTTTCCATGAGGAAATTCCTCCTGATGTCCAACCTGAACCCCCCGTGGCACAGTTTGAGGCTGTTTCCTCCGGTTCTGTCGGAATGTCCAAGCAAAAGCCCAAACCTCGAGAGGAGGTGCAGAGGGGTTGGAGGTTTTGTTCTCTAAGGCA